CCGGGGTCCCTCCCCTTCTTCTACAGCCCAGCTGGCTGCCCAGCTCCCACTTCCCTCTCCAGGGCTACTCTCACCCCTGTCCCCTGTGTGGGACAGAGAGACACTGCAATACTGGAGCCCAAGTGTACAGATGGAACCATGGCCTGAGTCTGTAAGGGTGGTGCAAAGGTGGAAATTCACTTTCCATATCCATAAACCCATTTCCATTTTCTTTTCTTTTTTTTTTTTTTAACACAATGCCTTTATTTTTATGTGGTGCTGAGAATCGAACCCGGGTCGCGCCCATGCTAGGCGAGTGCTCTACCACTGAGCCACAATCCCAGCCCCACCATTACCATTTCCATTTCCATTTCCATTTTCATTTCAAGCTTCTGGTCTGATCCAACCAACTCAGTCCACCCATCTTCAGTTAATGTCCAGTGAGACACTGGCTGGTTCATTCCTTCTACAAATCATTACTGACCACCCAACACCTGCCAGCTACTGCTCCTGGAACTGAGAGTACATTAATGTCCCTGCTTTCCTGGAGCTGAGAAGAGCATGGCCCAGAGAGCTGAGCCACCTGTCCCTCCCAAGGTTAACAAATGATCCAGACAGACTGCACCCCCCAACGGCAGCACTGAGCGAGCATGTGTGCACACACGCATTTATCTGTGCAAAAGTATAAGCCATTTCTGTAGTCTCTTAAGTCCACCTAAGAAGCTTAAGTTTAAAATGTCGGCCTTGCAGGGAATCTACAGCGCCTATAAATCGCGAGCCCAGAGTTACCTGCACTGCATCAGGGGAATAGGTGCGACCTGCAGCCACGCCCCGGCCCCGCCCCTCCCCAGAGCTGTGGCACAGCGCCCCCGTGTGATCAAGAGAAATGACTGCAGGTCCATGGCCGTTCACTGGAAATATTAGCCACTGGTCAGTGCCCGCGGCCTGTCCTCCGCGTCCCAACACGACCACAGCCCACTCTGCAGGTGCGGCTCCGGTCTCAGACACCCGGTGTCCTTGGAGGGGTCCTCGCTGGCTCGGCGCTGAGCTCCCAAGGCCCTGTCGGCCCCGTCGTCCACTCCTGCCCCACCTAGCCCGGATGAGGCCACCAGGGGCGGCAGAGAGCCGAAGCTGAAAGCATCCTCTGAGCATGACACGTGGATGGTCATCAGGCACTGCTTTGCTAGCCCTCCCCAGGAGCCCTTGCCCAACTGGTCATTCGGTCCTGGAAAATGCCTCAAGTGGTTCCTTTGACAAATCTCCGTGGTTTCCTTCCCCTTGAGAGTATGTCTGCTCCTTTGCAGGCTCCTCTGTTGGGCTCTGGGTGCCGTCTGAGAGCCAAACGGACTGGTTCCTGGATGTCCCTTCATTCAAACCTGGGCACCTGCACTGCGAGCCCACCCAGGTCTATGCTGTCAGCAGTGTCTCTCAGCACCCAGAACCCAGTGTGCCCCAAACGAGCTCTGACCCTGGCTCCTGCAGACCTCGTGACCTCCATCCTCCAAAGGCCCCACTGTCTGCTTTACACCAAAGTACAGGGGCTGAGAGAGGTGTCACAGAGCCACCAGGCTGTCATTTGAGTAAGGGAGGGCATGCAGGTGGAGGGGACAACACAAGCAAATGCGAGGAGGTAGGAGTGGGCAGAAGTGCAGGGACCTGGGAGTCATCTGAGGGCTGCAGGAAAGAGGCTGGGCCAAGGCCCTGGCAGGGTACAGGACTGTGGATGTACAGGGAAGGGACACATGCACAGCCTTCTCCCATTCTCCTGAAGGAGCGCTGGGCAGCAAACTGTCCTCAACCCTAAAAGAACACAAACCCGGGCTTGGCCTGAGCTCAGTACTTGGCCAGGAAATGAATGAAAGGCGAGCCAGGTAGGAGCAGACAGGGGGTCACACCAGGATGCTCTTGGTCAGCTGAGGAGGATGCAAAGATGCACAGCTCTGAGCCAGACAAAATCAGTGCCCAGGGCCTCCTGCAAGGGAGTGGAGGACCTCCCAACTCTTGCAGGTAACCCCTTTTCCTCTGCCGTGCCCCAGCCAGCCAGCTGTTTCTCACTCCAGCTTCTCAGTTCTCTGTTAGCCAAGACTGAACAGAACTAGAGACATCTGTGGGGGACACAGAGTCCAAGGCGGGACCACAGCCAGGTTCTGAGCACCCAGCCTGATCCTCACCATTCTTTAGCAACACTGGCGATTTGGCAGTTTAACAGTGATGAGCATGGTTGGGGGTGGGAGGGGTTTAGGGCACAGAGTCCTTGGGCAAACCAAGGGCACTCTGAACATTGTACCTGCTCTCTGGGCCCAGTGATACTTGAGATGAATGGGAAGGTCACTTGTCTTTACATGGAAGGAAGGGGATATTGCACCTTCAGCCTGGCCAGCCTCCCTGCTTAGAATGTTACAAGGACAGAGATAGAGGGCCCAGCCCACTGGGGTTAGAGGCTTCCCTCTGAGAGTTTAGGAGGGTGGGAAGGCACCCTAGGGCCAGGGTCATAGCTACCTGTTATATCTTCTGAAAGTTGGCCTGGCCAGGTGGGGCTGCAAGACAGGGGTGTAGCCCTCATGGGAGCAGGAGGCAGAGGGCATCTGGATCTGGTGTGGAGAGGGGCAATATTGTTCTTGTGGGGCTGCAGCTCTGTGCATGTTCTGGATATTAATGTGTTATCAGATGACAACAGGTTTGCAAATGAATCCTCTCTGCACCATGTTTCTCATGCACCCATTTTTCATTTTGTTGAAATCCAATGTATCTAGCTTTGCCTGTTGCCTGGGCTTTCAGTGCCACACCCAAGAAATCACTGTGAATCTTGAGTTGGGCTTTCCCATCTTCTTCCACTTTGAGCTGGTTTTTCCATGTGGTGGAAGGTAAGGGTCCAATTTCACTCTCCTGGGGCTGGGATTGTGGCTCAGTGGTAGAGCGCTCACCTAGCAAGGGCGGGACCCGGGTTTGATCCTCAGCACCACATAAAAAATAATAAAAGCATTGTGTTGTGTCCATCTACACCAAAAAATAAATATTAAAAAAAAATTCACTCTCCTGCATGTGGATCTTCTTTGTTGAAGCCAGACCCTGCTCAGAACCCTGTGGGTGCAAAGCCCTGTCCCAGCTGCCTGGGAAGAAACACCCAGGGGAGGGGGTCCTGCCCCTCTTCCAGGCAGCCCACACTCACTGTGCCCCTCCCAAGGGGATTAGGCCAAGGGCAGGTGCAGCAGCTAGAACCCTCCCCAGGACATTACACCCATTGATTCTGCACAAACTCCTCACATACACACCCCACTGATGTTTCCCCCAGTCAAGTCCCTTGTCCTCTTGAGAATGTGTGTGCAGGGTACAGGTGCTCACCAAAGGCTCCTGAGCTGAGGACCCCATATCTAAGGTGGCCCCCTGCCCTCCTCCAGCCCAACACCTCTTCCTCCCTCCCACCAGTCCCCACATCCCTTGCAGCATGAGGGTCTTTGGGCCTCACACCATTGTCCATAAGGAAAAGAGTTCTCTATGCTGTCTGGAACTCAGTAACCAGAGCTGAGGGCCAGTATCTCTTCTATCCCCTTACCACACACAGAATAGGAACCAGAGCCTTGACTTGCTTCTCCTGCTCCATAACATTCTATGGCTCCTCATGGACCATAGGATCAGGTCTAGGCCCTCCACAATCACTCACCATGTCCAGTCTACCTCCCCAAACTACATCCCTCATGACCCCTCCAAACCAACCCTGCCCTCTCTTTGACTACAGTTGGTGCTGGACCCTCACTTTCCCTCCAGAAAGCCCCACAGACACTAGCCCAGGACAGGCTCAAAGGTGGTGCATGTAAGAAATGCAGGTCCACTCAGGCCCAAGGGCCCAGAGACTGGATGGGGTGTTGCAGTCAACCTGCTGAAGGGACAGTCCCCAGGCCAGGCCCATCCAGGGACCTAGCTCAGTCTGGGAGAGACTTGGAAGCCTTCCGTTTGTGGGGGAGGGCAGGGAGCAGACAGACTTAATCCCTCTTCTGGCCCCAACTCTCCTCCCAGCCCGGCAGAGACCCACAAGATCTACAGGATGGCTGGGAGCACAGGGGAGCCCTGCACAGATGGCTCATGAGAGCGAGCACTGGGGCCAGAGGTGAACCAGCGGACAAGGGACCCGTGGTCCATGCCCTGGGAACTCTGGGGAAGGAAGGAGAGGGATAGGGAAGGAGACCACGAGGAGGGAGGGAGAAGGGACGGGGAGAGAGAAAGGAGAAGGAGAAGAGCAAGGAGAGACGGAAGAAAGGAAGAGAGTGAGCGAGTAAGTTAAGAGGGAAGACAGCGGGGAGGAAGGAGGCGGGAGTGAATGAATGGAAGCAGCGGAGGCAGGCCGCTCCCGCTGTCCGGGAGCACATCTCCGTCCCAGCCATCCCAGGAGTCTGGTGCCGAGCTGATCCTGGCGTGGCTCAGACACTTGTCCCTACGGGCGTCCTGCGCCCAGCCGACTCCCAGGGGCCGGGATGTCCCGCACGCGGCGGCCGCCCACTGGACGTGAGCGGCTGGTCAGCAGAGCCACGGAAGACTCGGGCGGACTCGAGGCGTGGGGCGGGAAGGGTCCCTGTGGACGCGCCCCACCACCCACGGCACCGAGCCGCGCCCCTCCCCCACCCGGGGCAGCCAGCGGGTTAGGGACCGTTCACACGTCTCCGCCCGTCGGTGTGCGCTTGTTCGGGCTTTTGTACGGGCTCAGCTCATTGGGTGGATTCGCGGAATGCCCCGCCCATCGCCCCGAGCTGGCCAATTGCAAGGCATGTCACAGGGCGCTGAGCTCCGGGGATCGTCACCGTCCTGCGACGATTCGGGGGATACTTAGGCCTCAGCGGTCGTTGTCCCCCGGGTCCGAGCCCTGACCCCAAGGAGACCTCCGAGGCCCGTGCCCCGGGAGGTGCCCGCCGGGCATCCGGGCAGCCCTTGGGGGTCTCGGCCTTCAACTCCCCCCACGGCTCGCCGGTGTGTCCTCGAGTGGACGCACGCACTCCGAAGGGGAGTTTGCAGACGCTCCCTCGCGCCGGGGACGCGGCTCCTTTAAGGGTACGGGCGTCCGTGGCGCCGCCTGCCGAGAGAGGCGGCCCCTGCGCGGACTCCCCGGGCGGCCCCGGACGGCGGGAGCGCGGCGGCGGGGCGCGGGCGACAAGAG